TTGAGAATTACGTTCTGGTACTACGCCTATTCCTAAGTAGGTAGAGTCACTATCACTACTATTTATGTTTTATTTATTTTTAAATCTTTCATATATAGATGGGTATATAAATAGAAGATAATTATAACTTTTAGTTAGCTTATTTACTATTCAAAACTATGATAAAAAAAAAAGAAATCAACCCTATATTTTTTTCCTACAAATTAATCAACATTTTATGAAAGGATACGTGACTCCTTTATCAATTTATTGTGAAAGCAGGTCTAAATCTCTACGTGAAAATAAACTCAAAAATCGGAAATTCTTTTGTAGAACATAAATTGTAACAAAATCCAATATCAATGGACAGTTTCCTTGGTTCCCGTTACGCAGTGCCAGTCGTAACGTAACATAATGCTCTGCGCTCGACTCGACACACCAGTATCCAGTCATTCGGTTTACGACTGCGAGCGGCTGAACGGAAATAAAACCGCTCACCTATGAAAGCTCATTATCTAAATCCGCCGAGAGTTCTACACATTACTTTTTCTGCTGATCACAATTTGTGTCATGTTATATACTGATCGAGATAAACATTATTTTGTGTTTATCTTTGTAATGCTGAAGAAAATGTATATAAATATATTTTTAATGTCATAGTGTATGCGATTTTCAATATTGAATACATTTTTTTAATGGCTTAAAAATGTTTTAATAATTAATTTTTATTTGTGTAAATGTATATATATATACCTACTTGGATTAATTGCTATTTACAAATTTTGTCTTATCAATGTAGAATTTGATTATGTTAAATACTAAGTAGTTTAATTTAGATACGTATGCCAAACTTCAAAACAACTGATTGAACTGTTAAGATGCCTAGATGTAATAAGTTTATTTTTAGACAAACTGATTCAAGAGTGAGATTTATACATATAGTTTAATATTGTGATAATTTATTGAAATAAGACGATAATTGTTTAAGATGTTGAAAAAAAAATCAAATCTACTGAAATCTTTCATCGAAAATGCTGAAATATAATAAAATATGATGAATTTGTTCCTCTTTATTAGGACAACAAAAAAGTTAGCGAATGCATTCTATATTCTACAAATGGCTTTTTATAACCATTTTAATATTAAAAAAAATATATACAGATGATGTGGAGTTTGGAAAGCTATTTAAATGGATACAATAGTAATATTATTATTCAATTCACACTTACATTATATTGTGTTTACACTGCACCCGTGCGAACCGGGGCGAGTCGCTGCTCAAAAATATAAGAATTTCAGACAGTAGATACGTACTTATTCGCTTGCTAAACATAAAGCATAAATTTAATTAAGAATTACTGACACTGCGATATTCATATGTCGTATTTATTCATTTATAAGTTCGATGGCCGACCATCCACCTATGCTTTGGCATTAAAAGGGCGGCCTCAATAAATTTTATTTGATAAACAAAGAAACAATCACACTGTTGTAATGTCAAAGATTTGCGGTAGGTTATGGAGCTTTGTACCTCTTTCTATTTTTATGTATTTTTTATCGTATTGCCTTGTACGATCACCATTAAGGAGAATTAAGTGCACTGCAACGTTAAACCAACATAAATTAATATCCGTTTAGGTAATTTAGTTAATATTTTTAGATTCATTGTTTTGTGTGAAAGCAGTGAGACATAGAGGTAAATAGGTTTAATAACTGCATGTAATATTATTCCAGAACTAGTTTATTATATATTATTATTATTATAAAATCTACTTAGGTTTGTACTTGCACGAGCTTTTATATTAATAATCACTAAATATTAGATAGAGACAAAAAGATAACTTAGTATTTACATAATTAAAGTAAAAATCATGTTTTCACAAAGTTAATAAATGAAAAAAAAAATTTAAAAATAATAAAACAAAATTAATAAACAATTGTTTTTAAAAACGAAAGAAGATATTTCCCAGAACAGCAAAGAGAACATGCACTATCGACTTCCGTATGAAGTGCACATACGTTCTTGTTCTTGCTCATTGCTATGGAAATAAATTACTTAGATGTTCTTTAAGTATTTCAATTTGAATTTGATTCAAATGTTGTTTCATTTGGAATTGAGTTACTTAAGAGAAAGAAATATCTAATGATTTTCGGAGCAGAAAGAAATTGTTTTTAAATCTTAATGAGCATTAACATAGCTATGTAATTCCGCAGATACTTATAAGTATATATATTAAGATACCATAGATGCCTTATAACCTAATATATTAGGTATATTAGATATATAGTTTCACCGTGACTTTCAATTGGATATTTACCTATCCACAGAGCACGTAACGCGCAGAAAGTCGCGCGCATTTCGCTACGAGCGCAATAAACTTTTATCGCTTGTTCTTTCAAGTATTATTTGACAGTGTTGATGCGTTAAATTGCGATTAATAGATGATTAGCCATTCGGTCGTGCGTTTATGGCGGTCTCGTAATAAATTCAGTTTATTGCTTATCAATCACTGGGACGCGCGAGGGTGCTCTCATCACTTGCACATTTATATTGCGCTTCCATGGGTGACCTTAAAACTATTTGAATTGTTGCCTTATTTAATTTTTAAATTTAATGATGCTTCAATAAGAAATTTGTTATAAGTTAACGAGTTAACTAATGTTATTGGAACTTTATAATTTTAGTGATATATAATATGACAGTTAGTAACAATATTGCTATTTAGGTGACAAAATTCTCTCTGCAGGTTCTATTCTTTAGTTATGTAGACCTTAAATCAGTTGATAAATATTTAAAGTATGATAAAATTATATTAAGTATATTGACACTGAATTCTAATTAGATAGGTATTTGCATATACACAAATTATTTTAGTAACACTTTGATTTTCAAGATAGGTTTTTGAATGTGACTTTAATTATAGTTTTGTTATTGTACTATACCTACTTGGGATTTTAATGGAATGGACACCCCGCTCGCGCCAATGATATACCTATGCTGGAAGGGGGAGGGGCACCAATGAAGGATGACAAGTGAGAATGAAAAGACAGGTCAGTTAGCTCATCATAATGAATACATCTGGAATTTGGCACGATGGGTTCCAAGTGGACCATGTGGAGGTCGATAGGGATATTGCTAGCAATAGGACTAGTAGGGGGGAAGGGACTGTAGGTAATGGGGTCCAACCAACTGACCCATTGCCAGCAATATCTACATCCTATCAGGTCAACCTTCACGTGGTTCTCCCTGAAAACCATCGTGGTTAATTCTAGTGGGATTCGTCATGATGGACTAACTGACCTGCTTTTATAGTCACCTATCATCCCCCATTCCATTATCGCCCGCCCGCATATTATTAAAGGATCAATTAAGTAAATAGGTATAATTTAAATCGCATTCATAAACCTATCTTAAAAATCAATATGTTACTTACTAAAATAGGATTAGTAGTCCGCATTACTGACAATCCCTTCCCGTTTTACCTACTGGGGTACATTTAAACACATGAGAGAAATTTAAACTATCAAAATATTTTCAAGGCAGTGTTCTAACAGAGAAACTTAAATTTTAACCCATACATACGGATAGCAAAAACATGAAAAAAGTATTGACCTCCCATACTAATATTGCACTTTTAATTGTCAAGTGAGTAAAGAAGATTTGAATATTTTCTTCCCTTGTAACGATGTTAATGATTTCCTTTTCAACCTACGAATACCTACTACTAATCGTGTGAGTACATTGCTGTCTGGTGTTGAGAATTTCTAGGCCCCCTTCACTGTATATGAATACCAATGACGTAGCTTATATAAAATAATATTTATTTTAGAATAAATCCCATAGAAATGATGCAATTATAAAAAAGCGTCGAGTCGAGATCACAGTCACCCGTTTTAGAGCCGTCGTAAATTTACCGCCATTAATATTTGCTTAACTTAACATAAAGCAGAGTGGCTCGAGTTGAGGTCCTGAGTTCCCGACCAGTAAACGTGCACTTAGTAAAGATTATCTCGAGGCATGTGGTAGTAAATAATCCACGTTACTGCACTATGTTAACTGCACGTTAATTTATGTCTCGCGCATGAGCCAGCTGGCAACTAAGCAACTTGCTTATCTTTACACATTAAATATAAATGCATACATTTTATATATACCTTCTACATAGGTAAATTTATATCTACACTAGTCATTTTCTGCAGCCTTGCCGTGTATAAGTATACAAAGGAACCCATATATTAAGTCAGAATATTCCTATAAAAGAAATTTCATTCAAATCTTTTCAACCGTTTAACTTGATTGAGATTTACAGATATACATATTTTTCTACAATGTAGTAAAACATAAACTTAGAGGTACTAACACAAGGCAGCTTGAAATTATCTTTAAACTCAAGTTAGACATATTATTTTTATACGTTATTATTTAACTGTATAATATTTTTATTTCAAAATCTTATATTTTAAAAATTAATAGATTGTTTAGTGATTTTTTAATTCCATAAAGTGTCAACAATTTGCAGTATCATCAGCTTAAATGTAAGCCAAGCTTTTTTCTAATTTCTACTCTCTAGAGGGGAAGGGATTGTTAGCAATGGAGTTCTTGTTGAACTAACTGACCTGCTTCATCCTCATCTATCATACTTCACTTGTGCCCCGCCGGTGTACGAGTATACCGAAAGCGCGGGGGTGTTACTATTTTATAATTACCCATAAAAAAAAAGCTAATAGAATTCTACTCTCTTGAAGTTATTACCTACAGCAGGAAATATAAATCATTAGTATTTTTTGGTTGTAAGTAATCTACCAGAGATATTGAACATTTTTCCAAGATAAATACACCTACCGAAAAAGAAAAACTTGACAGTAAGCTTGATAGATACTCCTGTATCAAATCTTTGTATTAGTAAGAGAAACAAAAATATTTAAAAATCTAGTATCTATCGATGTTATAGGTATAGGTATATTTATTACAAATTCTAAGTTACTAAACTAAGTCACAAAGAATTTTTTCTATATTTCAGATCTCATCAAAATGGTATGAAGCGAGTAAAGATAATTCTGAGAAACTGGAAGACGTAGCCTAAAAGGTAAGCCGCACAAAAGTAATTGTAGATATTTTCTGAGATACCGGTTCGGCCATTACCCAAACGTGTCCGCAGTCGCCGCTCAACCTGCCAATGTATGCATCGAACGCTATCGCCATCATTCTTTTGAATTTTTCATTCCCCTTCTCAAATCCAAAGAATGCCCAATGTTGACTCTCCCATTTAAAGCTCGAATAAAAGAGATAGCAATAAAAATTCTCTCTCACATTACTCAGGGATTTCTTTAGATGTGTGAGTGAGACAGCCTTAAAAGTAACATGGCGTCGCGTAAATAGTATGGCAGACTAAAATTCCCCAGCACACGTGTACTGAATGTGGGTGTGTGCGTTGGTCTCGTATTCCATTGGGAGGGTCTCTGTTACAGATCTTGTCAACCTTATGTTAATAATAGATTAATATTATTTAAAATTATTTATACTTATGATTTTGTAATTAGTAATAATACATGAGAAATATTTTATATCTACAGAAATAATGAATTATGCTCTGTTTTGATCTTCTTACGATCTTCGTTTACGTTTACAATAATCTCAAATTAGCTTGAGTATACAAATTAGGATAGTTTTTATCTTGATAAAAAAATGGACTCTGTATGTACTGTTATCGGGCAAAACAATGTTTTCTGTATCAGCTAAGCTAGTATTATAACAGTTAGATAGAAGATATGGAGTATTTTAAACCGACTTCAAATAAGGAGATTCTCATTTCGGTTGTATTTGTTTTTTTTTATATTTGTGTAACTTCGTTAGTTGTAAACCAATTTGGATTTGTTTATTTGAAAGTACCTATATACTTACAAATTGGTCCTGTAGACATTTTATCAAAATTGTTTTAGTAGTATAGTTTTTAAATCAAAATAACTGGTTTTGACACAATTCTTTTTTTTATGGAACACAATTTAATTACTTATTACTATAATATACGCATACTGTCCTTAATTTATAATTATTAATATCTGACATTCACAAGTTTTGTGTAGCTGTATGGGAAATATTTAGTTCATATTTTGGATAATGTTAATATAGAAGTCTATATAGGTGTCATTTATAATAATTATCTTATTTGTGATACTAACATCAGATAAATTTTTCAGTTATTGTTTTGGATTTAAAAATAATTAAGAAAATATTATATGAAAATTTAATCGTCGAAGAGGAAATAATCTTCTATAATGCATAAAGTACGTAAAAAATGTTGTCGACCACTAGCTCTGTGTTTCTTATAGTTCCTATAAATACTAAGAGATGGCGTTTAAAATAAAACATTAAGCTTATAATTTTGTAGTTCTGAAGTGGTCTACAATTATTTTCGGGGACTACCTACCTACTACCTAGTTGTAAATAAAATATTGTTAAGAAATGTCTAATTATCTATATTAATAAAAGTTAAGATTGACTTTATACAAAAATCTGAAATGAAATTTAATAGGCATATAGGTATGTATAATAACTATAAATGTTGTGGTTAGATAGATTATAGGTAGTTGTAAAAGTTGTAAACCTTAAAAATTACCGTTACCAAATACGAATTTAAAAATATTTTTTAAAAAATGCTAAATTTTATAAAAATATTATTTTAAGCTTGGTATTCGTTCACATTTTTTATAGAAGATAGGTATGCTACATGGTTTCTTTTAACAATTTTACACTTGCTTTTTTACACAACTTGGACCAATTGACGTTTCTATTATTGTATCACAGATTAATTTACCAGACATTAAAACGATCAATCTCTGTAAGAATATACCTGTCTATTAATTATAGCTATTTTTGTATTATGTTCACATACCACTGATCGCTCAAGCTTTAAGTTGATGTGCTTTCGTAAACTTTAACGATGTCTTCATATATCCAAAGATGGCGCTGTCTATATTTAGTTAGATTTTTACCTATATAGTTCATTGTGTGAATTTTATTTAAAAAATAAAGATTTTTACCGACTTTTATTCTCAAAATTAAAATCTTTCAAATCTGAGTTATGATTATTAACTGACATTTACAGAGTTATGTAGGAGAAAATAAAGTCTAAAGGAGTTTTGTATGATAAAACTATTCCGCAAGCAAATTTTACCTGTAAAGCCATATAGTATTATTATTTTCATTATGGTTACCTTTTCCCATCAGATGACATTTCAGCTGTTTGTAATTCGAAGTTGCATAACAACTATATATTATGTCAAATGCAAAAGACATTAAATAATTATTTGGGAATATGGAGGCTGCCATGGGAGATCAATACAAAACATTATAATATGGCCAATATAAAACTGTACTATATATACTTAGTATTATGTTCATGTCTCATGTCTATGTACAACTAAGTAGTCGACGGTTGTTTACATCAAGGGTTGCTGTTTAACTGTTGGTGTTTTTTAATATTTAGCTCCAATATTCCTCATACTTTTCTAACAGTTGTCTTTGATATTTTCAATGCAATCTCTCTTTTTTTATTTTTTATTTATTTTTTTAATGCATTGATAAAGTTACAACTTTTTATGTTAATATTAAATAGATGTAGGTACAATATAAAATTAAGTTAGTAGATATTAACAGTCATTTTGATAAGCAGATCCTTTATTTCACGAACTATATACTTATACATCAGATACCAGATACCAGATACTTATCGTATATAAGGTATTAGTACCCATTAGTACTTAAATATAAACTCTTATGATACCAGACTTTCTAAAATAGTACAAAAGTTATAATTTATTGTAGTATACAAAAAATTCACCAAAAACCGTTTGCCCATAATAAATATGAGACAATGACTATAAAGTTGCGCAAGCGCTTCCTAGAAAGAATGGTTGACCCAATTTTGAATGTAAATTCAAATTAGTTTTTTGCCACAAAGAGAAAGCTACCAGCCCGTTGCAGTCAGTTTGGTCATAGATGTAATGCGGGAAAGTAGTGCAGTGAGCAATAAATGAAAAATGTCAGCAATTCCTACTTTAATTTTAGTTAATATTATTTATAAAGTAAACATGGGACGCGCGCAAGACGCCTGGCTTTCCGCCAACTCTGTTCTGATTAGTTCCAAACCAGATGGCGGCGATGTGAAAGGGTATGTATTTTTTTGTACTCTAACAAGAGAATGAGAATATTTTTTAAAAATCTTCATTGTTGTATTAAATCAAAATTAATATGAAACTTTACCCAAAACAACAAAAAAATTAAATAGGTAGGTCACAGCTAAATGAAGTATGAGTTAGAATGAATAATATAAATTTTATAATATTCGCGATATAGAGGTATAAATATTACATAAAAACTCTAAATTTTACTTTAGTTTAATATAAAAATAAAATTGTAATATAATAGCAAACCCCAATAAGAATAACCCTAAAAAGACAGTCATAAAATTTACAGGTAAGGAACAAGTGTGTGTAATATGTACATTTATATTTTTTTATAAAATAGGTATCTATATATTCTGATTTATTTTCATCTAGAAAATAAGGTTTGATTAAGTAGCTGTAGTTTTTATTCATAGCTGATAGATATGGACGATATTATATATTTTTGGATTTGAAACTATTTAAAAAAGATAGGCATTTTAGACTACAACAACGCAACTCAATAGGCTACGGTAATCCCGTTTACCATAAGACGGGCAGTATGCTTGTTTGCCACCGTAGTTTTATTTAAAAAAAAAAAACATTGTAGTAAGTTTACAAAAATATTTAACTCCTAAATTACACGTACACCTACTACTTTCACTACAGATTTCTTAGTAAGATGATAACGACATTTCGAGAAAGTAACTCTACCATGTAACATACTGTAGAAAAGAGTATTCTTTAGATAGTGAAGCTATCGTAGAGATGTCACCTTTTTCCCTGGCACATAATAAGTAATTAAATAAAAATAGCTAGAGACAGTGAAGTCATGTAAATTAAATTATAAAATATAAGCACGGATACGAATTCAAATAGATGTCGCAACTCCATGAACCTAATTATTGTATTTAATTTTTATCACTTTCGATAGCCTAACTACTTATTTAAATATAGTAGAATGGAGTGTCAATTTATATATTACTAGTTATCCGCCCTGGCTTTGCACGAGTAGATAGATAGAAAGATATGTTAGTACTTTATATTAGGTTTTAATAGGTAAATTTTTGATACTTGGATTTAATTTTCATACTTATTTTCTCTCTTATATATCTTTTTATATATATATTCTCCAAACGAATTACATAACAATTAAACTATAAATAAAGTAAAATTAATATATAAAATTTACATTAAAAAAACTATAGGGCTAATAGGAAATGTACACTTGGAAAATAGCTGATATAAATTTTCTGAATGTGTTGACAGAAATGTATATAAATGAAATAAATGCTTGTAGCATTTATTTCATTTATACTCATTTCATCACATTGTCAGCAATTTAAAAGGTATAGAATTAATAAAGCAATAAGAATAAATACCTATATAAGAGGATGCTAATGTTTGTCATTTGGAAGGAAACTTAAAAATATTATAGGCGCCAATTTATTATTTATTTATTTTTATTATTTATTTACACTTTATTGCACCAAGTAAAAAGAGAAATAACAAATACAGTAAATATTAATGAGAAGTGATACAAAAGGCGGCCTTATCGCTAAGCAATCTCTTCCAGACAACCTTTGGGTAGAGGACATTGAGAAAAAGACAAAGAGTAGGTGGCGCACTATTATATAAATATTATCATATACAAACATATATAAATACATACATACATATATACACATACATATATAATATATACACAATTAAATATATACATAACATACATACATACATACACATACATATATAATATATACACAATTAAATATATACATAACATACACATACTTAACAGCATACATACAACAGAAAAAAATGATGAAGGAAAACGAAGAGAGAACACAGGAAAATAGTACTAAAGTGAGAGGTAGTAAGATTTAACAGAGGTTTTGAAGCTAGTAAGAGTTTGAGCGCACCG